GTCTTCACTACAACAAAAAGCAGTTTTGGCGACCAAAAATGTAAATTTCGTCGCTGAAAGTAGGACAATTGGCGACTAAAATTGAATTAGTAGCCAAAAGTGAAGACTTTTGGTGACTAAAACAGTTTAGTAGCCAAATGTATACTTATTGGCGACTAAAAATCAGATTAATCGCTGATTACATGGGTTTTAGCGACTAAAACAATTTTAGTAGCCAAAAGTGAAGGTTTTTGGCGACTAAAAAAAATTAGTAACCAAAGGTATAGGTTTTGGCGACTAAAAAATTGTTTGGTCGCCGATTGTAGGTGTTTTACCGACAAAAAAAAAATGTTGTAACCAAAAGTAAAGGTTTTTGGCTACTAAAAAAATTTAGTAGCTAAAAGTGGACAATTGGCGACCAAAATTGAGTTTAGTCGGCAAAAGTGGCGGTTTTGGCGACTAAAAATCAGTTTAGTCGCCGAAAGTGGTTATTTTTAGGTGAAAATTAATTTTTTTTGCGACTAAATTATTGGGTAGTAGCCAAAACTAAGGTTTTTGACGACTAAAAAAAAATTTAGTCGCCAAAAGTGGCTTCCTTTTTTTTTTTAATAAATAATTTATTTTTTACATAAATTATATTGAATAAAAATAATTATGTTTATATATATAGTTTAATATTAATACGGGTCAATATAGTATATAAATAATATATTTTGCATACATATTCATGTGGTGTTATTGTGGCATAGTGGAGAGAGTGTGTTGGTTAAGGGTTCGAAAGTGGAAGGTTGGTGGTGCAAAACTTGGGAAGAGCAGAGGGTTAATTTTTTTTTTTTTTCCTGAAATAACCTTTTGGCGACTAAAATGGGTGGTCGCCAAAAGCTTTAGTATTGGCAACGAAAAAAATAGTCGGCAAATGTATAAATTAAAAAAAAAATAATTCACTATTGGCGACTAAAAATTTGGTCGCCAAATGTATAATTTAAAAAATATAAATGAACTTTGGCGACGAAAAATTTAGTCGCTGCAGACTTGGTTTTTGGCGACTAAAAGTTTGTTAGTCGCCAATACCTTTCGTGACAGTTTTCCAGTGACCAAGCCGGCGACTAAAAAATTTAGTCGGGAAAACTCAAAACCCGACTTTTGGCGACTAAAAATTCAATTTTGACGACAAAAAATTTAGTCGCCAAATGTTTTTTTTTTTTTGTAGTGCTTGTTTAGTGGAGACTAGGGGTACGCTTAACTAGTAAACAGAACTCAGCTTCAGACATTTGCCTTTGCCTAATGCAATTGCAGTGACGCATGACATTGTATAGAGGGCCATCCTATTTTAGTGAACTAAGTTGATATGGTAGGAAAAGAATTTGTGTGTGAATGTGGTTATTGTGAATGGGAATATGAATATCAAGTTGGCACAAATGTCCAGAATTTGTTCTTTAACTCGTACAAATTATTGTACCTAGACCAGTAGAGTATCTGATAACATGTATCCTTTTCTATGTTGCAGATTCCATTCTTTTTTCAGTGCTCAAAATCCTGTGACTAATATGAAGTCTTATATCTATATATTTTATTTATTGTATAAATTTACTTAAGAAGTAAAAACAATGGATGCAAATTGATTAGATTCCTATTACATTTAATCTTTAAGTCAGTTCTTTCACAATCATAATCAAGAATATTGCATTCAGTTGAGAGAATGAATAATCTTTAGCACATGGGAGGGGGTAAAATCCATTCACTCAACTTCATCCGCAACTTTGGCTATACAATACAACAATGTTAAAAACACTCTTCCTAGTAACAATTTGAAACACATCAGAAATTTTGTATTAATAAGACTATTGATGTAATCAGTTCGGGACGGTCGGTATTTAGGTGAAATTTTGCACTAAATTGATAATGTCGATTTTATTATATTGAAAACCAATACATACCAAATTTTTTATCAAATCACACCAAACCGCACTGATTCAAACGGTTCGGCTCAATGCCGTTTAATCGGTTTAAGTACTTTCAAAATTGAGTCATTTCTTAAATTTGTAGTATAATAAATAATTTATGTAAAAATATTAAATTAGCCATTGGTACACAATTCTAACCATATCTAATCTAAGCATTCACAAAAATATAAACAAAAAAATGAATAAATACTAAGGCTTGAAGCTTTTATGAATTAGAATTAGAAACAAAATATAATCTAAGAACCAAATTAGCAATATTATTCATTATATATTTAATATATATTATATGTACATATATTCGGTCGGTTTCGGTGCAAATCGGTGTATAGTATATCAACACCGGTATCGAACCGAAACCACAAAAAAATTAATTTCCAAAACCGAACAGGCCGAATCATATTAAAAAAAAGACCAAATATGACTGGTTCAATCCAGTTTAATTGATTTTGTCAGTTTTTTCAATTTTTTTTTACATCCCTAAATAAGATGGCGAGTTACACTAACAGTTCTTATAGTTTGGGGCTCGTGTCAGTTTGATCCCTAAATTTTCAATTGTTACGCATTTAAACTTGAATTTTAAATTTTGTTCCAAATAAGGACAACTAAAGATACCATTGCTCAATTTCAAGGGTAAAGTCATCAATTTGATAAAATATAAACCAACTTGACAAAAATAAATGTCAAAAAAATATTTTTGAATTTTTAAAATTATTTCTATCCACCAAAGATAAAATTATGTAAAATTGATAATTTTTGTACACATTTATTTATTTTACCAAATTAATTTTTGGTATGTGTTTGGATGATGATCATGTAATAGGTGGTTGTTAGGCTTTAATATGTAATTGATACTATGAAATATTTTTTGTTTTGGATGTTTTTATTTAATGGATTGGTTTAATAATAATATCAAACTTGTCACCATATTTGACTTTTGAAAAAGTAAAAACTAATTTAATGAAAATAAAAATAACCGTCCATTACATGATCATCATCAAAACCCATAATAAAATTAATTTAGTAAGAAAATAAATAAATAAATGTGTAAAAAATTTATCAATTTTATATAATTTTATCTTTGGTGAGTAAAAATAATTTTTTAAAATTTAAAAATATTTTTTCAATATTTATTTTTGTCAAATTAGTTTATATTTTTATCAAATTGACGACTTTGTCCTTAAAATTGAGCAATGGTATATTCAATTATTTTTATTTGAAACAAGATTTAAAATTTAGGATCAAATGTATCACAATTGAAAAATTAATGATCAAAGTGATACAAATACCAAAGTATAGAGACTATTAGTATAATTCGCCCTAATAAAATTACTAATAAAAAAGTATTGGACAATCTTCACTGTATTTAAATAAATTAAATTCTGTTGTGTACTAAACAACAACCAGAATATAAAGAAATAAAGGAAATGAGAGAATTTGTTTGATTACAAAAATCAAACTCGAAATAAAAAATAAAATAAATAAAAACAGATTTTATATTGTTACAAAAACAAAATTAAAATCTGATTTAAATAAATAACAATAACACTGAAAATAAATTAAATAACTTACTTGATTTAATTTGTTCGAATTATAATCTGATCAAGTACAGTGTTTAACATTGTGTCCTTAAAGACAGATTCGTCCTTTCCACGGTGCTTTCAGAAGTTGGACGTCTATCTCTCATGATGAAATGATCTACTACTAACAATAGCAGCACTACAAATTGTTTGCCTTACGAACACAATAAGTGTTTACACTCTTTGTTTCAGAAATAAAATGCAACACAATGAAGAAAAGAATAACCAGAGGAGAAAGTACGAAAATTGGAGTTTAATCCAAATGGGAGGCTAGTCTATTTATAGATGTAAAGGTGGCTATTGGTTTTGAATTGAACAGGTATGAAACCTGTTGGTTTTGAATTTAAACAGATTTGAATATGTTGGGTTCATAAATTAAACAGATACAAAAACGAGAAGGGCCCTGTTTGGATGTACGGTAAAACCAAACTAGTTTATTTCCGGTTTAATTTGAATTTTGAATTTTATTTTATACAAAATAAAATTAAATTCAAATATTTTTTGCCCAAAAAGATTAGTATTGAGCCGAACAAACCCAACTCAACCTCACACCATGCACCCGCGCCCAGGCCCAGCCTAACCCATGCGTGGTGATTTTTGGGTCTAATAGGTCTAGCCCATAATCTCTCCCTCTAAAACACTTGGGTACCCCTTGGGGCACACCCCAAGTACCAAACTCAAGCCTTATAAACCCATTCAAAACCTCCCACCAAATCAATGTGGAACAAGTCATTTTACAACCTTAAAGAATTTCCACCAAAACTCCATTTCTATGGAGTACACTTTGGCTTCAATTTTTCATTCACTCGGTAATGGTTTTGAGCAACCAAATATACCATGTGAATCACAACGTGGCATAGAATGCATTACCACTTTGACCCACGTAAATCGACGCACGGGGCCCACCTAAAAAATAGACCAAATTTAAGAAAAAATTCTAATTTTACCCAGAATTTTATAACCATTTTCAACAAAAAGTTGAGTATAATTTTGTCCATTTATCTGGCAAACAACCTTGACCCAAAAGAAATGAATTTAAATACAATCAATAAACTATAAAATCTAATAATTTCTCTAAATATAAGTATGTATGTATTACCAAATTACTATTACTAAAATGTAGGTTCATTACTGCCAACAAAGGTTACAATAAATAAACAACTCCAAGGTACACTTTGGCTTCAATTTTTCATTCACTCGGTAATGGTTTTGAGCAACCAAATATACCATGTGAATCACAACGCGGCATAGAATGCATTACCACTTTGACCCGCGTAAATCGACGCACGAGACCCACCTAAAAAATAGACCAAACTTAAGAAAAAATTCTAATTTTAACCAGAATTTTATAACCATTTCCAACAAAAAGTTGAGTATAATTTTGTCCATTTATCCGGCAAACAACCTTGACCCAAAAGAAATGAATTTAAATACAATCAATAAACTATAAAATCTAATAATTTCTCGAAATATAAGTATGTATGTATTACCAAATTACTATTACTAAAATGTAGGTTCATTACTGCCAACAAAGGTTACAATAAATAAACAACTCCAAGGAACATAGAGACAAATAGATCCATGCTTCCCTTATCACTTTCGAACCACCAAAGCAAGACTTGAATATTGTGGGTGGATCATTAATTTAAATAGATATTTAAAGGAAGACTCTAAATAGTGGTCACTTTTTTATTCTTTATTCTTTTCCTTCAATAAATATCTATTTAAATTCAAAATCTAAACACACACTAAACATGTCTACTCCCAAATACCAACTTCCATGAACCCATCCTGAGTGGCACAGCCCCTGAACATTCCAATACAGTTGAACCCATAAGCCACCTCACCATTCCTGGACACAGCAATCAGACCAGCCTTGCCTTGGTCCAGCCTCTCCTTCACCACATAGTCCACCGAATCCTGGAGGCCCAGACCCTTGTACTCCATCACCGCCGCCACCTCACGTGCCAGTGTCCCACGTATGATGGCCTCCCCCTCGCCCGTGCACGACACGCCACACACCTCACACGCGTAAGTCCCTGCTCCTATAAGCGGGGAATCGCCGATGCGACCGCTCATCTTGTTCATCAGCCCGCCGGTGGAAGTCGCTGCCGCACACCGCCCTTCCCCGTCCACCACCACGCAGCCCACTGTCTCCGGCGCGTACACGCTGATTGGGAGACCGTTCATCTGCAGCGGGTTTTCTACTACTGCGCTGCACTTGTCAAATCCTACGGTTGGGATCCTGTAATCAAACTGCAAGAAAATGTGTCATTATAAAAATTATGAACTACGATATGTATTAAACAATATTTTTAAAAAAAAATTATAATAATATTAATATTTATCAGATCTTTATATTTTAGATGATGTTTATGTCGTCAACACAATAAAAAATAAAATATTAAAAATAAATAATTATCGTAGCATTACTTTTAAATTTTAATATAAAAATTGCTCTTTCTATAATAAAAGTGCACATATATCTATACTATTATAAAGTGAACACTTATTATGGTGTTCTGAAGCTTTACTCTCCTCATGCCATGTGACAGTGTTTTTTATTCTTTTAAAAAAAGTTAAACAAAGAGATGGGCAAGGCTTGAACCCATGACCATGAATTTAAGTACGAGAACTCATACCACTTACGCTAGATAGACATTATAATATTAATTTTATTATTATTTTCTTTTATTTCTATTTATTTAAATTAAACACACATCGTGTACCACCCACTAGTATATATATACACACACAAATATATCATTTGGGATTGTAAAAATTAAGAAGTTATGTATTGACTGATGATGATCATAAACGATGATGATATGATAGGGGTATGCGTACCAATATAGTGTTCGCTTCCTTGGCCAACTGCAACATGCCAACGTTTTCCTCCGTGATAAAGTATTCGTTGTCCACCATCTCCACACCCTATAAAAACCCCCCATCATGTCAAACACTTTCCTCCCGTAATAACTATAAAATAATATATATATATATTTGGGCACGTGCCATTAAATATAGATCACCTGTCGGCGGGCGAACTCTTCGGCGCCGGAGAAAGCGAGGTAAGAGTGGGGAGACTTTTCCATGACGAGGCGGGCGAGGGAGACTGGGCTCTTCACGGTGGTCACTCCTGAAACGGCGCCGCACCGTCTTCCATGCCCATCCATGATGCTGGCCTCCATCTCCACCGTTCCTTTCTCCGTCAAGGCTGATCCACGCCCTGAATTGAACAGAGGATCCGATTCCAATTCTCTAACCTGAGTTTTATACCCCGTGAATTAATTATAAGTCACTGTAATAGAACAATTACATGTTCTTACAGGAAAAATAATAATAAATAAACAAATCGGTCTGTTATGAAAAACAAAACAAAGAAGCAAATGCAATCGGATTTGTCATAAATATTACCAAATATAATCACGTGTCTGTGTTTTATGATGCCCTAAATAAAACTACAAGAAGCATTAAATGAAAATCGAAAAGAAACACTTTTCTTTTATTTATTTTTTTTCCCGGGGTTTCCGCGGAAACAAACAAGCAGAACCGTTCGTACTTTTTCCCATGGAAGAGTATCCAAGTAACTAGCATCTTCTTCTATTTTTTGGGGAAAAACAGAGAGAGAGAGAGAGAGAGAGAGAGAGGCGTACGACGAGTTCGACGACGTCGATGGCGGGGAGGGAGGAACGAAGAGCAGAAATGCCAATGTTGAGGCAGCGAGTAAGGAGGACTTTGGCTTGTTCTTGGCGTTCCAGTGGTAGGTTTGGGTCCACACCAGCGCCTCCGTGCACCGCTATAGCCCAACCACCCATTTTTCTCTCTCTGTCTCGCTCTTGCCTTGCTTTGCTTTGCTTTGGTTTCTTCAATTCCACGATGCACAGCGAGAAGAGGATGTGGGCCTTTTATAGGCGTTTCCGCGGAATCCAAATGTTCTATAAAATATGGTTTTTACTTAAGGCCAGTTTGTTATAGGAGTAATAGATTCTAGATCAAAAATAAATTTGAGTTTATTTGTTTAATAAATTCTGGTGTTTTGAAGTCAGGTTTTTAAAAGTTGAGTTTTTTATTTTTGATATTTTTTTTGTATTTGTAAATATTTTTAAAATTTTAAATAATTTTTATGTTTTTTAGATGGATCTTACTTGGATGTATTTAAATAATAAAATATTTGTGAAAAAATATTTTAAAAAATTAATAAATATACAAAAATATGAAAAATGTGCTGAATTTTAAGTTTTATTTTTTATTTTTATATTTTTGGTATTTAGTGGATTTTTTTCACAAATTTATATTTTTTAAGTGTATTTATGTTAGGTGTGTTTAAAAATTAAAAAAATTCATTAAAAACAAAAAAAAAAATATTTTAAAAAAAGTAAATGTTTTTGAAAAAGTATTTTTTGAAAATCAAAACTAAATAAATTGAATATGATTCAAATAAATTAATAAATTGATTTTTTTAAATGTGGCCAAAAAGGCCTAAGTTAGCATACTGTAATTCACCCCATGCTGTGGGTTTTGTATTGGGTCCCATGTGGGTCCCACACCCATGTGAGACATTTGGTAAAACTTTTGGTAGAATTTTTGGGGCCTCTAGCATTTTTGTTTCTACAACTATCATCCGAAAAACTATAACCAAACAAGCTAAATATTAATTGGTTTGGATTCATAAAAGTTTTCAATTTATAAATGGTAATATTACATGTATCAATTAGTATATTAATTAATGTACTAACAGGTATTATGATATTATTATTGATCCCACCTATTATACAAATTATAAATATTTAAAACCTTCAAAAGTATGTCATATCATATATTAATATACCAATTGATACATATAATATTTTTCATTTATAAATAATTTATTTTTTTAGATAGATGTGATATTAATTGGATTGGATTTGTGAATACTTTTAATATATAAATGGTTGGCTTGTTTCACTAGAGTTGATATTAATTAAGTCCCCTTTAGGGATAAATTATTTTAATTAATTATTTGACTTTTTACAATAAGACATACAAAAAAAGGAATTGAAGTGCCTGCTGTGCTGGGTGCACAACAAGCACTGTTATTCGGCCTTATGGATTTATTTTGGGATCCGTTTTGATCATCTGAATCGTTCACATTTTAAAGTATATCAAGTAGAACATATATGTCAAAAATTTAAATTAATCGGATATCGTTAAACATTTCATCAACTCACATTTGTATGTTGAAAAATAAATGATATCGTGATTTAAAGTATTAAAATAAATATAAATGTGAGTGGATGAAAGGATTAATGATATTTGGTTAACTTAATTTTTTACAAATATATTTTATTTGATGTACTCTAAAATGTGAGCAATTCGAATTATTAAAATGGATCCTAAAATAAGTCCATAGGCCGCACAACAGGCACCTCAACTCCATAAAAAATGTAAAGAAAATGATGGAATGAGGTGTTTTATTTTAAAGTTTAGTTATCAAGTGTCCTAAGATATTAAATATGCTTAATTAACTCCATTATCAAAAATAAAATAAAAATGTCTAATAACTATGGTTAAGGACTAAATTATCATTTTTTTTTTAATTTTCTATTTTGATATTTTTATACATATTTTTGAACTTTGTGTTAGACGGTCCCACCATCCACTCATGCCTTGGGGCATATTACAGCAATATGCATGTATATATTATAAAATTTTTTATCAAACAATATTATACCAATTGTGGAGAGAAAAAATATAGGACAAATTAGGTAGAAGTTCTATTTAAAAGAGGATAAATTTATTTAATCTTATAATCTTTTAAATACTCTCAAACGTTCACTCTGTATTTTTTTACCTCCATTCTTCTCTGTGCATTCGTTTTTTTCTCTATATCTTTCTCTTTTTGATTTATGATAACCAGTGATTATACCTTACTTCTTCTCTTTCTCTTTCTCTTTCTAATATATAGTTACGGATAACCGACGATCATTATTGCTTAGGGTTCACTGGCACCACCGACTATCGACTCCTTACTTCACCCTCACTAATAGCGAAAGAAACGAGTTTTTAACGAAGAAGATCTGATGTAGATCTATTCAAATCTGTTAGATCAGAATAAATCTACATGAGATCTGACTAGATCTAAATCAAAAATAGCTGTCAGAATACAATATTCTCTCTATATTTGTTTCTCTCATTTGATTTCTTAATTCAGAATACAATATTCTCTCTATATTTGTTTCTCTCATTTGATTTCTTAATTTTTCTACCTTTTCTTTGCTACACACTTTTATTTTTTTTGCTTTAATGGAGGAAATTTTCAAATTTTGAACAAGTTGTTTGTTAGTTTTAGTTACAGGCGGTGAAAACTATAAAATTTCACAGGTTCAGTTTTTTTTTTTTGTGCTACAATGAATCATGCTTTAAAACTGTAAAATTTTACAATTTCATAACATTCTTTAGATTTGTAAAATTTTGTAGTTTCATAACATGTTTTCCAGTTTGATTAATAAGGATAAATGCTTAATAGAATCATATTATAAAACTGTAACATTTTATAATTTCAAAGCTTACTTTCCAGTTTGATCAATATTAGAGATTATTTGCTTAAACTCTACAAAAATTAAAAAATAATATATACTTTTTCCAATTGTTGTTTGTTGTTGTTGTTGTTGTTTTTTTTTTTTTTTTTTTTTTTTTTTTTTTTTTTTTTTTTTTTTTTTTTTGGTCAGTTTATCAATATTTAACGCATGTTGTTATGTTTTTTTTCACTATAATTTCTCTATTTATTCTTTTTTTTTTGACAATATTCTGGATATTTTGGCTTCTTTTAGTGACGTTCAGAACACTCCAGCAAACTTTCAGCGATACTCTGGCGATTTTCCAGTAATGTTGAATATTTCGCTGAGTCTCCAATTAAAAAGTTTGACGGTGGTGGGATGTAGCAGCATTTTTAAAGTTATGAAGAAAAAAAAAAAGATTTATTCTTTTTTTTTGACAATATTCTGGATATTCCGGCTTCTTTTAGTGACGTTCAGAACACTCCAGCAAACTTTCAGCGATACTCTGGCTTCTTTTAGTGACGTTCAGAACACTCCAGCAAACTTTCAGCGATACTCTGGCGATTTTCCAGTAATGTTGAATATTTCGCTGAGTCTCCAATTAAAAAGTTTGACGGTGGTGAGATGTAGCAGCATTTTTAAAGTTATGAAGAAAAAAAAAAGAATTTTTTTGATAACAATTAAAATATATGTAGGACTAATTGATGCAAATGTTTTATTTTGGAGTTTGATGAATTTTGAACTTTATATACAGGACTTACTGGTAAGTGTTTCAAAAAATATGAGCCTAGAACCAAATCTAGTCATGATAGCCCAACTCAAAAGTGATAAGTCTAAATGCATCCCTTGAAACCCATAAAAGACAGCTAGCAACAATTTGTCATCAGATTAAGGCGCGTGGGGGGAACAAAACAATAATAAAAGATTGCCTTTTAGAAAACCAAATCAATTAAGTAAAGGATAGCCATCAGATAAACCTTCATCCGAGGGTGGGAAGTATAGAATATATAAGACTAGTATGTAGGTTGGGCCTAATGCGAAAGAGAATCGTCCGATTAAGTTTAATTCTACAAACGATACGCTTGACAAGTAAGTGGGTTTTATCTAACCCAATCACAACTCAATCAAATACTAGAACTGTTTTCTTTTTATATTATACACTTTGGTCGATCATTGTGCTGACTTGATCGGCGAAGAGTCCTCCCAGTCAACCCTGGTCAGAAGTGATTACTGACGTTTGGTTTCTCTATGCAGAGTGTAAAGAATTGGGCGCATCATCTTGTTTAAACCTGTGGAGATAATTTCACATTCCACACCAATATTATTAAATCAATAAATATATATATGTTTTTTTTTTTTTGGCCACATATATCAATATATATTTTTTGATAACATGATATTTTAGTAAATATGTCCTTCTCACCAAAAAAAAGATCCATTATTTGACCTAATGTCATATCCGTAAGGCCATCTTCAACGTTGCATCAAATTTTTCATCAAATTCAATTTTGATGAAAAACGCCTTAAATGTCAGTTCGAACCCTTTTATCAAACTGATATCAAATAGAGGGAGAACCAAATTTTCATCAAATGAAGAGAGTTTTTATCTTTTCATCAAATTTTGAAGGTGGTAGTTGGTGGACGACTGGCCAGACAACCTCTCGGATAACCGAATTTTAGGATGAATTAGGAATTTTGTAAAAAAATTTGATGAAAATCGTTAAAAACTATCACACTACAAGAAAACATACATTTGGCGACTAAATTTTTAGTCGCCAAAAATCGAATTTTCACTTTCTCCGACTAAATATTTTAGTCGCCGGTTTTGTCACGAATACACGGTCGCCAATACCTTTGGCGACTAAAAAAGTGTTAGTCGGCAATATACATGTCTTCAGCGACCAAAAAATTTGTCGCCAATAGTCAATTCCATTTTTGGAAATTATACATTTAGTGACTAAAGTTGTAGTCGCCGATAGTGAATTTTTTTTTTATTTATACATTTGCCGACTATTTTTTTCGTCGCCAATAGTCAATCTTTTGGCGACCACAAAGTTTAGTCGCCAAAAGCATATTTGAAAAAAAAAAAAATTACCTTTTGTGCCTGAGACCTCCCACGTTTCGAACCTGAGACCTCCAGGTTCCAAAGCTTTACAACACACTCCCCCCCACTATGCCACTAAACCATGCAACATATATTATTTATATATTACTTTGACCGGTATTAATACAAAACTATATATATAAATATAATTATATATATTCAATATAATTTATGTAAAAAATAAATTATTTAGTAAAAAAAAATTTAGATCACTTTTGGCGACTAAATCCATTATTTAGTCGCCA